AAATTGATTGTGATAATAATGTGTATACTGGTAAGATAGGGAAGGGGTTTCTAGAGTTAACGGAAGACTGTTTTATGACTCAGTTTGTAAAAGAGCCAACAAGGGGAGATAACATCTTGGATTTGATAATGAGCAACAGGGACAACCAAATCTCCAACATAAAGGTGGGAGAAGCATTAAGCAACAGCGATCACAATGCAGTCACATTTGACAACACAAGAGTTGGTGAGGTTATAAAAATCCAAACAAAATGTCCAAATTTCAAGAGGACTGACTTTGTGCGCTTCAGAAATCTAGTCGGAGTGGGCCTGGCAAATTTAAATATGGCAATGGAAGTGGAGGACCTATGGAGTTCCTTCAAGGAGGTGATTATGAAGGCAATGGAACAATGTGTACCCATGCGAAGCAAAGGTACCAAGCTTAAAGGCACTCCTGCCTGGTTGAACGCGACTACAAAGCAAATCATAAAGAGGTAAAAGAAGCATTTAAGTCCATGAAAGAAAATGGCACGGAATTAAGTCGGACTCAATACTGGAAGGCATGCCAGGACTGCAAAAAAAACATCAGCATGGCAAAGAAAAGCTTTGAATTGAACATGGCAAGAGATGTGAAGGATAATAACAAAACTTTTTTAGTTACATTAAAAGTAGAAGAAAAACAAACAATGGAATAGGGCCACTGAAGGTGGGTTCAGGAGACAGCATGACAAATAATGCTGCACTAGTGCTAAATACGATTTTTTTGCATCAGTCTTTACCAAGGAGGGGATGAGAAACCTATCTGATCTGGAAAGAGAACTCAAGGATATCACGGAGAAAAGTTGCAACACTATTCATATCATTGCCAGCATGGTTGCCAAACAGCTGTGTAAACATAAGGTAAATAAATCTCAGGGGCCGAATAAATTGCATCCAAGGATCTTCCCATTTTTAAGAAAGGTAACAAAAGTGACCTGGGAAACTACAAACCAGTACGTTTCACATCTATTGTGGGTAAAATTATGGAGATTCTTATTAAGGATAAAATCATGGAGCATCAGGACAGAAATAAAATCATAAATGATAGCCAATATGGGTTCATAAAGGGAAGGTCTTGCCAATCTAATTTACTGGTTTTCTTTGACGGTGTGACAAGGTGTGGATGTTGTATATCTGAATTTCATTAAGGCCTTTGATACAGTTCCTCTTGAGAGGCTGGTAAGTGAAAGTAAAAAAAAAAGTGGGTATTAGTGGAGGTATATTACATTGGATACTCAATTGGTTGACTGGAAGAACTCAGAGAGTGGTGGTACAGGGAATGTCATTAGACTGGGAAAATGTTACCAGTGGAGTTCCACAAGGGTCTGTTTTGGGACCACTTTTGTTTAATGTTTTTATAAATGATCTGGAACTAGGAGTCACAAGCACAGTGGCTAAGTTTGCAGATGACACCAAGCTAATGAAGGTGGTAGATTGTGAAGCTGAACAAGATGGGTTACAGGAGGATTTGAACATACTTGGGAATTGGGCAGATCGGTGGCAGATGAAATTCAATGTGGAGAAATGTAAAGTACTTCACATGGGGACAACAAATCCATGAAGGGATTATTATTTGAAAGGAAGGAAAATAATATATATGGAAAATGAAAAGGATCTGGGGGTCCTGATTGACAATAAATGGAAGCTCGCCCAACAATGATCTGTGTCATTGTAAAGCAAACTAGATGTTGGAATGTATCAAAAGATCAATAACATGTCGAAATAGTGGGGTAATCTGTATAAATCATTGGTGAGACCATACTTAGAGTACTGTGTTAGTTCTCGTCACCGCAGTACAAAAAGGAATATTGGAGAAATCGAGAAGATACAGAGGAGGGCAACCAAAATGATTGAGGGAATGGAAGGACTGGACTATGAAGAGCGGTTAAATAAATTGGGCATGTTCACGCTGAAAAAGAGAAGATTGAAAGGCGACATGATTGCTGTTAAGATTCTAAAGGGGTTAGACAATATAGTTCATGATGGGCTGTTTCAATTTGTCCAGAATAGTAAAACCGGAGGACATGGCCTACAATTGAAGGGAGTAAATTCAGAATGAATCTATGGGAACGCTATTTCAGTGAGCGAATAGTGAACCTGTGGAACAGGCTCCGTAGGGAGACAGTTGAAGCAGGAAATGTTGATACTTTCAAATACAGATTAGATAGTTTTCTTTTAGGAAATAACAATATGGGATATAGTACATAGGTAGTTCAGGACATATGTGCATGTGACTGCCAGCAAGGTGCAAGGCTAACTAGATGAACCTTGGTCTTTTGTTGTGTAGCATTTCTTATGTTCTTATTTTCTTCCAGTCTATCAGAACCTGCCAAGTGTGCATTGGCTCCTTCAAAATGTAAATCAGAGCTTCGCAAATGTCCTGGTTTTGTCTCTATTAGTGCTCCAGCCTGTTAAAGAACCTATCTAGAACTTCTGCCTTCAAATGTTAATGTCCTGGCATTCACAAAATGTGTGAAATGCTGGATGTCGTTTCTGGTATCTGTGTTTTCAAAAGAAACCCTCAAACTTGTTTAAATATATCCATATGGTTTTGTGTATCTCTCCATATAGTTCCTTAATTTTTTAAAAATTGTTTTGCTGTTTAATTTTTTTGGGGAGGGGGTGGTCAGCCTTAAATATAAACAAAATGCAAAATACTGCAGATGCTGGAAATCTGAAACAAAAACAGAATTCACTGGGAACACTCAGTGGGTCAGGCAGCGTCTATGTAGAAAGAAAAGTGAGTCAACGTTTCGGGTCCACGACCCTGCGTCAGAACTGGGACGAGTTCTGACGAAGGGTTGTGGACCTGAACCCATAAATATGTTGGAAGGAAAGGATATTCAGCTACAAGAATATATTAAATACAGTGTGTGCAGATGTTTGAATTTAGTCGTTCAAATGTTACAGTGGATGTGGTTTCTGTGGTGCAAGGCAGAAATTGTCCTCTTAGGCTAACTGTATAGCTTAAGGAGGGCTTGTAACCTCTTGAAGTTGAGACTAATGGGAATGGACTGCTATCAGCTGGTCCATTTCTCCAGGAAATGAGTAAATTGTAAAGAATAGTACATTAATGTAATCCCCAGGGTAAAGTTCTGTAGACCTCTGAAAAGCAATAAACATTTGCTGCTAAACAGTTTGAAATACAAAGCCAGTAACTTTGTCTTATGCCTTTTTAAGCAATTTAGAACATTGAAGATACTTGTATCTCACTTCATTGCACAATATTTTGATGTAATCCTGATGCATCAATTGCATGATTTCTAATTGTCATATCTCATTATCCAGCCCTAGTTTTGTGTTTTTTTGATGATAATGAGATGTGCCCCTTTGCATGGATGTTTGGTTTTGTAATGGTGCATCTATATTAATGCCATTATGTACTTTATGAAGGAATGGAAGCCTATAGCATGGGATAATTGAACCTGAACCTTATGAAGAAAATCAGGAGTTCTTTTTAAGTTGTTTTAGGCCATTTGTCAAAGTGATTCGAAACCAGTTTAGAACAGCCCTATTACTATACCAAGCTGTCAAGGAATGATGAAATTTAAAAGCAAATTGTAATGGTTGTGGCCTTTCATTAGAGTGTTGTCACTGGTATGGTTTTATCTTCGAATGCCAGAATAAAATGTGTAAATCCATACAAGGACGAGTTTGCTGCAGAGGATACTTTCTGAAAATATTAACTGGTCTGACATTTAAGCAGAGTCAACCATCAAAAGGGATGTTCTGTCAAAATCTTAAGTGCTGCTTGACTTTTGCACTGTGTACGTATTTTCTGTTGCATAGTGTTCAATTGAGCTTAAATGTGCAATGCTCAAGATTGTGTGATGCACTTCCACAGCTTTATGTATTTAAAAGAAAGCTGTTTGAATATGGTAACAAATTCTGCTCCATCCGTTCAAGGCGTTGTAAATGTAATATAGGCTAGGTATACTCCTTATAATCTGCCATAAATGCAGAGGAAATTAGACAACTACAAGAGGTGGCTATTAATACTGTGCAAAGGACAGATTTATTCCTGTGCATATCTTTCTAACTGTACAACTGGGTTTCACTTTGTATGCTGTTTCATATTGCAGCACTATATTTTTTAAAAATGTGGTTCTATTGGCTCCAATGATGTTAATTACAGTTTCCTGTTGTGGATCTTCATCCTACTTTGTGAAGCAGAAGCCTTGGAGACTGACTAAAGGTCCATCCTTCTGCCTTCCCAAGTATACTGTTTTTCAGGCTTGTTTACTTTGTTGAGGTGATTGTTATATAAGGCTTTATTTTTGGAAAAAGAGGGGGTAGAAAATCATCTGTGTCGCACCATGGATTTTTTTTCTTGTTCTCCTGAGACTGTAAAATGTTTATGGTTGACGTGGAAGGCATTGCCATAGTTACGGCTGGCACTTGCTAACAAAAGCAAATGTACAGCTTATTAATTTATTTTAACTTTACTGGAAACTAATTAGAAGAAGGAAGATTGAGGGGGACATGATCCAGGTCTTCAAAATGATGACATAGAATGATAAGGCATGGAAACAGGCCATTTGGCCCAACTAGTCTGTGCTGGTGCTTATACTCCTCATAAGCCCACACCCTTCATATTGCCCTCTCCTATACTCCTCTATTCCCTTCATATTTTTGTTTAAATGCGTCAATGTTCTGTACTGAAACACAAGTTTGAAGGGGCCTAAATAAATTAGACAATTACAATTATTGCAGTTGTGTGATACCTTTCAAATAAAATATTGGCCAATTAGCTTAATATATCCTACCCATATCCACCTCGTATGTGAATCATGAATTTCTAACAATTTGCAGAATCCTGTACCTGAGCAAAAATACTTACTGTGATTGCTTAATAAAAAGTGAATTTATCAACTATCAAAAGATATCAAGCTTTACCACAAAAATGTAGACCACTTACTTGCTGGATTTTACTGTATATTTTCAACAAGATACTAAATACTCTTTTGATTTTGTTCCTTTTAGTTCAATTTTGTTGGACGAATCCTTGGACCCAGGGGGCTAACGGCAAAACAGCTGGAAGCAGAGACTGGATGCAAAATCATGGTCCGAGGAAAGGGCTCAATGAGGGACAAGAAAAAGGTGAGTCTAAAGTAGCGAACTGGATGATTTTGATCTAGGATTTCTCTTGTGCCTTGTGTAAGAGTGTAAACTTTGTTTCTAGCATGGCTCTCCGTTAACTGCAGTCTGAAAGGTATATTTTATCAGATGGCTTGAAGGTTTTTGCCCATGGGCTTTGTATCTACTTTACTTAACATTCATGTAAATTAAATGAGCTGAAACAACCTGTCAGTGGTCTCTCCAGAACTTTTGGCAGGACAATCTGCAGCACAGCATTTTGTCTAGTGTCAAAAGGCTCAAACGTGAGCAAACAAAATCAGTTAAGACTTAATGCCACTGTGGCTAGTCACTGGATTGCTCTACTGAGCGCTGGGCTTGGGTGCTGAGTAATGGGGCAGGGGGAGATGACCAAAGGTGAGGGCGAAGATTTGGGACTTAAAGATTGATAGATGTGGCAAGGCAGAGGGACAAGTACCGGGAACCTTGTCAGACAATGCTCTCAGTGGCAAGCGACGGCGCTGTTTTAGCTAGTTAAACTCTCACAGTACTCCTATGTACACTCTGGCCCCAAGGCTTTCTAACTTGTTCCTGATACTTACTGAAAATAGGTAATCAGGGTGCCTCCCTCCAGCAAAAGAGTGCAAATTCTATTCCCACGGAAATTTCTATGTGTAGGTGGCATACATATGTTCTTAGTATACTCTTAAACAGCTGACCCAGCTGACTAAAAAGAACCCTTAAACCCACGCAGCTGCATTTCTAATTCAATTCATCCAAATCATACACCGTTTATTATGATTTTTTTCAAGCACATTATTTAATTTTAGAAGATAATTTATTACTTCAAAAGAGAAAGTCATAGTTCTATTTCATATGTCATAGTAAATGTTAGTATCTAATATTGTTTAATTGACCGTACTAAATCTTTTGCTTATGTTAGAATGATATGTGAAACACGGTGTGTCGCATGATCCGAATTCCTGGATGGGTCCAGAATGGGAACCAGAGTAAAGTTATACTTGATATGCAGATAAAGGACAAACCACTTAAACAGTTAAAGAAGCTCTTTGTCGATGGACTTGCAATGCAGAATTCAGATTTAATGAAAGAAAGAATGAAAGATTTAAAACATTGCTTTAGCTTATTGATGCAGTTACGGTCAGAGGTACAATTCCTTTGCTGGAATCAATACACAGCACATTTTATTAATAACATTACTATGATACTTCTGGTAAACTTTTTATGTGCATTGTTCAAGTTTGACTTGCTGTCTGTTTTGTGCAAAAAGTAACCTTGAAGAGGAGAAAAAAATATTATGCAACGATAACCTCAAATATGAGATATTCAATAATCTAAGCAGAGGTGTGAATGAAAGGAATACTGTAGAATAATTCACAAAGTAACGTAAGATAATAATCTTTGCATTTGATACAGCACTTTGTCACATCAAAGCAGGTTATACTGTAAAGTGGTGTGACTGTATTTTGTGGGTGAACAGCAATGTCCCACAAACAGCAATAGAGTGAGTGACTAGTTTTGTTTGGGGGATTGTTGACCAGGTTGACATCAGGAAAACAACAACCGCAACAAAGTTACATTTGTAAAGCGCCTTTCACGTCGGGAGGACGTCCTTCGAATCCCTGAAAAACTCCCTTCTCTTTCCAAATTCCATTATGCAGTCTTTAATGTTCACCTGAACAGGCAAATGGAATCGCGGTTTAATGACTCATTTGAAGGATGGCATTGCTGAAAATGCAACAGAACCATAACTCTGCATTTGGAGTGTCAGCTTGGACTGGCTTTCATGTCCCAACCTGGGGCTTGATCCCACAACCTTCAGACTCAGGTGATAGTGTTACCAACTGAACCAGGCTGACACACTAAATATATTCTCATACAAGCTTGTATATCAGCTATGTTGCTCATTTACATATATTTAAACTAGATTAATCTGATTATGACCCAAGATCATATTATTACCATGGCTTGGTTGAAATATTTTTTTCAGGGAGATAATATGTGTTGTATAAATAGAGGTAACTTATTGCAGAACAAGCAAATGATACTTTTATCTATAAGTGAGAAAACTAACAATATTGTGGATTTCTAACAAATATTTTAACATTTAGTTTCTTTTAATTATGCTACTATAACATTTAAAAAATATATAAATGAGGACATTCACCTTTAAGAAAGTGTTGACAAAGTTTTCTTAACTGAGGATTTAAATGTCTTTATATAAACCAGGAATTCAGTTCCAAATACTTGTCTCTATATCAAGACCAAAATCATAATTTTATTTTTATTTTTAAATGTTTATTCATTGTATCAAAATGTCATAAGTGTGTGTGTATATATATATATATTCTTTGTAGCGATGAACATTTTATTAGTATTATTATTTTGTCTTAAATTGAGTTACAAAGCAAACAGTGGAGACCAATTTCCTTTTTGATTGCAAAGATGCTTAACGAATTCACCTTTCTTCCCTGCCTATTTTCAACATGGTGACCAGGAGAGAGCCATACATATCTTGTGTAAATATTAGGCCAGATATTTTCAAGCAAGTGAAAACAGATATGGTGATGAGTACCATGTTCCAAGTTTGAGGAGGAATTTTATATTGTAAGCATGTGTTATAAATGGACTATTCCACACATGTAATGCCCCTGAATATTGCAAGATTGTAATACAGTAGAATCTATTTGATTTTATTGCACTCTTGTGAATTGCTCTTTGATAAATAATGGTGATACCAATATCAATACTAATAACACCTAATGCCCCTATAAAAACTGTAGTTTTAATAAAACTGAAAATTGACTTGTGCTATTTGTACAGGGAATCATTTGACTAGTGTCTGCACTGGCAATGCAATTTTTTTCCATGCACATTTGTTGTAGTAGCAATAAACATTTTTTTCAGTCACGGAATCCCGATGTACAAATAGAATTACTATATGAATCACCTTTGAAGTGGAAAGAGATGGGAGAAGTTATCACCTGGGCGCATCACCCCTTAAGAAATTCACACTTGGATGATACTCTACTACTTTGAGGGTGTATAATAACCCCATTTTGCCACACCTTCAGTTCTAGCTCTTATTAAGCAGCAGCAGCATTATCTTAATGCACCAGAAAAGTCAGATTTTAGCTAATTAAGAGATAGGCACAGCTTTTCAAAGATAACTTGCTGAGGGTTATGTAGACCCAGCCTACAGACGTTGTAGTTCACACTAGTTCAGTTCCAATCCATTTATCCTTGGCTTTCAGCTGCATCCTCACAGTGACTCACTTTGCACTGTTGTCTGAAGTTGGGCAGCTTCTAGAAGTGTGCGCTCAATCTTAGCAAAATAGATTGATGGATCATCTCATGCTTGAAATATTATACGTGATGTTGTCCAGACCTTTTTGCCACATTTGAGAGACATTTCCAGTATTCTAATTATCCTTTCTTTGAGGTTCACAATGCCCACATTTCTACTCAGTTGGACGTTAGGTGCTAGGGAGCCTAACTGCCTGCAAGGACCTAATTGTGAACTGAATCCATGAATCAATTAAACAGGATTTTCCTGTTTACAATTCAGGATTTTATGCAGCCAACACCAAGTTTATTTGGCAGAATGTGCCTGGACTGTGCTGTATCTTAATTGTCTAATACTGTATATTAATTAGGTTTCTCACAGCATCAAGCTGCTTTTTAAATGATGTCAGTGTCCTGGCATCAGTATCCTTCCTGGCAACCTGTTCCAGTCATTAATTACCCTCTGGGTAAAGGGAAAAGTCCTAGTATCTGTCCCAAAATTACCCTTTGCAGCTTTAAATCTATGTCCTCTTGTTCTACTGTTTTGGTGCATCAACAGTATTGTTGTTGATTTACTTTTTCAATCTCTATGAGGTCTCCCTGGGTTGTCTTCTTTCAAGATTGAAGAGCCCTATCATGTCTAATTGTTGCTCATCGTTCATTCTTCTAACATTGGGGATCATTCTCATTTCTTTCTTCTACACTGCCTCTGGTAGTAGATGGGGCAAGGGAGCTTCTCAAACCTGGAAAGTAATGAAGAGCTGGGGTTGAAACAGGCAAAGGCAAATTCCGAGGCATACAGAAGATTCATTAATACAAAAAGGAAAAGTGAGGGCAAGAGTGACTTACATAGTACCCTCCACGCAGGGTAGCGTCTCAGAGCACTTAGAAGTATGTAAAAAGGAAATTACTAAAGTGGTCAAAAAAAGAGTGTAACTGAGAGAAAAGTGCAGCAATGGTCAGAGGACCAGAGCATGTGAGATTGGAATAAGTTTTCTAATGCCTTTTTCCCTTCTCCTAACACATTTTGGCCATATATTAAACACGATAGGGCAAATGGCTTTCTTCTCTGCTGTCCAATATCTCTATGTCCAATATCTCTATGGCGAGAGAATTGTAACATTTGGATACATTAGGCAGGTGATGTTGTACTTCGGGAACTTTCCAGATGTGTTATTGCTGCTTATTATGGATTGAGAAAAAGTTTATCCCCCAAAAACACAATGGTGATGCTGCTTTCTTGGTCATTATGTTGAAAATAGGTTGTGAAGGAAAGTGAATTTGATATGCAGAAGGGCCAAAGTACCATTGTGTTTGATTAATGCAGTAGTCAACCCTGGGCTTTCTAGATACAGACACCAAGTTAGACCTTCATCATGCTCTGTTGTGCCTAGTTTAATAATTTTGTTTTCCCTCTGAACTGTTGAAGAAGCTGTTTGGTTTTAATTATTTGACTCATCTGGTGAAGAGCTGAGGATGTGCCCTGAATGAGCTAAACGAGGGAGGGTCACTTAGGGAACATGGTGTCAAATTCTTACACGAGCAGCACCGGTGGTGTTTTTGCATAGTAAAGTTAACCGATAGTATTGTTTGCATTATCTGTTCATCTATTTGCATTATCTGTTTGTATGTAGAGATTAAACCATAATCGAGGAACAAGAAAGGCTATAGATAATGTAACATTAAGTTTCTTATTATCTGTTCAGGGTTGCAACCTT